TTCCTTTACACTTTCCTAGATATAACTCAGTTTCTGCTTTTGCATGTAATAAAAATTCAGGATCGGTGTGGCATAGGAGACTTGGCCACCCGAATCCTCGAGTTCTTTCTCATTTGTTACGTCTTGGTCTTTTGGGTAATAAAGAGAATATGTTTTCTCATTTTGATTGTGAATCATGTAAACTAGGCAAAAGCAAAGTTCTTACTTTTCCATCCAATGGTAGTCGTGCTTCCCATTGTTTTGAGCTCATTCATAGTGATGTTTGGGGCATTTCTCCTGTTGTGTCTCATTCTCATCACAAATACTTTGTTACCTTTATTGACGATTATAGTCGTTACACTTGGATATATTTTCTTCGATCGAAGGCTGATGTTTTCAGAACATTTCAAAACTTTCTTGCCTTGGTAGAAACTCAATTTTCCACAAGTATCAAAGTTCTTCGTACTGATTCTGGTGGGGAGTATATGTCTCATGAATTTCAAACATTTCTTGAATCTAAGGGAATCCTATCTCAACGATCATGTCCTTATACTCCTCAACAAAACGGTGTTGCGGAACGAAAAAATCGTCATCTTCTTGATATCGTTCGGACCTTACTTATAGAATCCAAAGTTCCTACTCGATTTTGGGTTGAAGCTTTGTCTACAGCAGTTTACCTAATAAACCGACTTCCATCACAGGTCTTGGAGTTTGAATCACCTTATTTCCGACTCCATAAACGTCAACCAGTGTACACTAATCTTCACCCTTTTGGTTGTGTGTGTTTTGTTCATCTTCCGCCCACAGAACGTCATAAACTTTCTGCCCAGTCTGCTCGTTGTGTGTTTCTAGGATATAGCATTAGCCAAAAGGGATTCATGTGTTTTGATCCGCAAGAAAACAAGTTGCGAGTCTCCAGGAATGTTATATTCTTTGAAAATCAGTATTTCTATCATACTTATTTTCCTAATAACTCATCTTCTGTCATATTACCTACGTTTGAAAGTGTCTCTAGTCCTCCTAGCTCCAAGTTCAAAGGAATAGTGTATGCTAGACGCCGTCCGCCAGACTCTTTGCCGCCTCCTTCCCTGCCATCAGATCCTGTGCCAGAGCTTCCTCTTGAGGACACGAGCACTGTGAAGATTCCTCTTCGTCGCTCTACACGACGTTCAGTACCACCAGATCGGTATGGATTTTCATCCTCTTCTCATGCTCTTGCTGCTACAGTAGCATCTGTTGTTATTCCCCCATGTTATTCACAGGCTGCCAAACATAAATGTTGGCAAGAAGCAATGCAGGAAGAATTGCGGGCTCTGGAAATTAATCAGACATGGGATGTTGTGTCTTGTCCTCTTAATATCACTCCTCTTGGATGCAAGTGGGTGTATTCGGTCAAAGTTAGATCTGATGGCAGTATTGATCGTTATAAAGCACGTTTGGTGGCACTTGGTAATCATCAAGAATATGGAGTCAATTATGAGGAAACTTTTGCTCCTGTAGCAAAAATGACCACAATCCGGACTGTTCTTGCTATTGCTGCCTCCCAGGGATGGTCTCTATGTCAAATGGATGTAAAAAATGCATTCCTTCACGGTGATCTCAAAGAAGATATCTTTATGCGTGCACCTCCTGGTCTTTTCTCCAGTCCCACCACAAAGGTTTGTAAGTTACGCCGTTCTTTGTATGGACTAAAATAGTCGCCTCGTGCTTGGTATGAAAAGTTTCGTGCTACACTTCAGCAGTTCTCGTTTCAGCCAAGTAAGCATGATACATCCATGTTTCTCCGACATACTTCTGATGGGATTGTAGTGCTTCTTGTCTATGTAGATGATATTGTTATCACTGGAACTGATCACTCAATTATTTCTCAGCTCAAACAACATTTGCATAGTTCTTTTCATATGAAGGATCTTGGAGGACTTTCATACTTTCTGGGGCTAGAGGTTACTGTGGGTTCAACTGGTATTTTTTTGAATCAAGCCAAGTATGCTCGGGATATCATTGAATCTGCAGGTCTTAGTGGCACTTCTCCAGTTGATACTCCTATGGAGCTAAATGTTAAACTTCGAAAAGATGAAGGAGATCTTCTTCCCGACCCAACAGTATATCGTAGGCTTGTGGGCAGCTTAGTATATCTTACGATTACTCGTCCAGATCTCTCGTTTGCTGTTCATCAGGTCAGTCAATTTCTTCAGAATCCCCGTCATCTCCATATGGCTGCAGTTCGACGTATTATTCGTTATGTTCTAGGAACCGTTACCAAGGGACTTTATTTTCCAAATGGTGTTTCTCTTGAACTATCTGGCTATAGTGATGCTGATTGGGCTGGCTGTGTAGACACTCGTCGCTCCACCACGGGATGGTGTATGTTTGTAGGAACTGCTCTCGTTTCCTGGAAAAGCAAGAAGCAGGATCGGGTTTCTAAATCATCTACGGAGTCAGAATATCGTGCTATGTCTCTTGCTTGTTCAGAGATCATATGGCTACGAGGTTTACTAGCAGAGCTTGGGTTTTCACCCACCGGGCCTACTCCATTGCATGTTGATAACACTAGTGCTATTCACATTACTGCCAATCCAGTTTATCACGAGCGCACGAAACACATTGAAGTAGACTGTCATTTTATTCGGGAAGCATTTGAATATCAAGTGATTTCCTTGCCCCATGTATCCACAAATCTTCAAGTGGCTGATATCTTCACGAAGGCTCTTCCTCGTCAGCGGCATCAATTCCTTGGTGGCAAATTGATGCTTGTTGATCAACCAGCATCAATTTGAGGGGGGATGTCAATCAGAGAATCAGTAGAAAAATATGTCTGTATCTTATTGAATCTTTGTAATTATAGGAAGATTTTATTTGGCATTGAGTGCAGGGATATCTTGCATTAATTGTAAGAATCCCCTGATTTGTTTCCTTGTACATATATTCACATGTTGCCTATATAAGTGTAAATAAACTGCTGAGCAGGGCAGCTCGAGCTTTCCAGCATTCCCAGTTCTTAGTTCCCGATTTTACTTAGTTCCTTAGTTTATCATTTCTGGTAAAATCAGTGACAGCAGCAATGCAATCTGAAGGGAAGCAAGCCATAGGCTGCAAGTGGGTTTTCAGAATAAAGGAAAATTCTGATGGTACTGTGAATAAATTCAAAGCAAGGTTGATTGCCAAGGGGTTTCATCAGAGGTTTGGTTTTGACTTTGGAGAAACATTTTCTCCAGTGTCAAACCTGTTACCATCAGAATTCTTCTCACTCTAGCTGTCTCACATCACTGGCCCATCCAACAACTTGACATTAACAATGCTTTTCTCAACGAGGATCTTGAGGAAGAAGTATACATGACACAACCCCCTGGTTTTTAAGCTCAGGACACCTCTCTTGTTTGCAGATTACAAAAGTCTTTGTATGGCCTCAAACAGGCTCCCAGGGCATGGTTTCATAAACTTACCTCAGTGTTTTATAATGCTGGTTGTAAACAAAGCAAGTGTGATCCTTCATTACTCCTCTATCTCACTTCTGACATCCAAATATACATCTTAATCTATGTGGATGATATCCTAGTAATAGGAAACAGTCCTATTGTCATCAACCAAATTATTCATAAGCTGCATTCCTCCTTTTCTCTCAAACATCTGGGAGATGTTGACTATTTCTTGGGAATTGAAGTCAGAAAACTTCTTGATGGTTCTTTACATCTATCTCAAGCAAAGTATGTGAGAGATCTTCTACACAAGGTTGAAATGTCAGATTCCAAAGGTGTAAAAACCCCTATGATCAGTAGCTGCAAGCTAACCAATGAAGGAAATGATTATTTACCTGATCCTTCTCACTACAGGTCTGTTGTTGGCATTTTGCAGTATGCTACTTTAACCAGGCCTGAACTTAGCTATGTTGTAAATAAAGTATGCCACTTTATGGCCAATCCTCAGCAAGAGCATTGGAAAGCTGTGAAACACATGTTGAGATATCTATCTGCTACTGTCACTCATGGACTACTCATCAAATCTCTTCCACTATGCACATCACCTCTTCCAATTTTTGCCTTCTGTGATGCTGACTCGACATCAGATCCTACAGACAGAAAGTCTACATCAGGGTCATGCATCTTCCTAGGGCCAAACATTATCTCTTGGTGGTCTAGAAAACCACTGAGGGTGGCCAGATCCTCAGCTGAAGCTGAATATAGAAGCCTTGCAGACACCACTTCAGAAATTTTATGGATTCAATTTCTGCTCAAAGAACTTCAAATTCCCTTCCTAACTCCCAGAATATATTGTGACAACCTCAGTACAGTTCAGCTTGCACATAATCCTGTACTTCACTCTCGCATCAAACATATGGAGCTTGACCTCTTCTTTGTACGAGAGAAAGTTACACTCAAGCAACTTGAAGTTTTTCATATTCCAGCTTCCCAACAAGTGGCAGATGTTCTGACCAAGCCCCTATCAGCATCTACATTTCTTGAATTCAGAAACAAACTGAGTGTGATTGATTTTCCCAAACAAGCATCCTCAATTTGAGGGGGGAATGTTAGCAGTATTAAATAGACTATCATTACTGTTATAGTTAGTTAGAACGACTTGTGGTTTCTGTTAAACTACTGCATTGTATAAATACTTGTAATCTCACACATTATCAATAAGATGAATTCATTCTGATCTTCTTCCAGTCTCTATATTCTATTAGATCAAGATGTGTGGACACAGGCGGACCGTAGTACAGACCCAGGGGGGCGGTCGCCCCCCAACAACAAATTATTTTAGTGTATATATATAATAAAAAATAGTTTTCGCCCTCCCAAAAAATATTTTGTTTAAGTTACCGCCCTCCCAAGACAAACTTCCTGGGTCCGCCCCTGTGTGTGGATGATACTAATGTTTTCTCTTAGATTCATTGCTAGCATCCACATAATTTTGAAATTTGTGCAAATCATGTTTTGATTATGTTTGGGGCTCTGCAATGGCGGACGAGGCTTTGATTTTAAAATGACAAGTTTAAGATTTATTATCTATTTCTTGGAGCACAGGACATGTTCTCCCGAGACTCTTTTGTAAAAACGAGGGCTTTGGAGGATGATATTATTGAAGGTTGGAGATCAAAAGTTGAGGGGTAGATAGATGTTCGAGACTCGAAGTCTTTTGCTACATTTGGGTTAGATTACAACCCAAGTCATTTGTATACACCTTGAAAGTTAGCAACTCTGCCGCCACCCTAGCTCATTTGTCTTTATGGTTTTGACAATATCAAATGTAATCTCCATATATATATATATATATATATATATATATATATAGGGAGTGGTTCCAATGAGAACACCTCTTATTGTAAGAAATGAGAACAAATCCTAGACACTAATCATATATAATGAACGGCAGATTGATCGGGTGGTGCATAATAATATGGTGCACTTGATTGCGTGTGACAACTTTTTCTACTAGTAACACTTTGAAACGTGAATTATTTGAGGACACAAGTGTCCTTTACATAGCCCATTACCTTTTATGGATTTGTACGTTTCCTACTTGTATTTAATGAAAATATTCGTTATTACGTTAGTGGATCTTTAAAGTCAACCTTGACAAATAAGAGAGTTTTATTTTTGGAACTAACCGAAATATATTACTCCCTCCGTCCCCTTAAGTTTGTCCCGTTTTACCTTTTTCGTCCGTCCCACTAAGTTTGTCACATACCATATTTGGTAACATTTGAGTGGTTAGAATTCATTCTTACTTTATTTATACTTTATCAATTCAATACTAACCACACAATTCCACTTTTTCTTAAAAACCACACCACACCCCTCCGTCCCAAACTTAGGGGGACGGAGGGAGTATATATAAAAAGACGGCTGTTTTAAAAGTGTATGAGTTGGATTCTATAATTGCAAATGTATTTGTGCATGAGATAGTAAAATATATGCAAAAAAGACTCTAAATAGTCAATAGTGCACTTATGAAAGGTAAATGTAGTGCTGGACTCGGGCCGGGCGGCCCGGAACCGGCCCGGTTACTGTTTGGCCCGGCCCGGTTACTGTTTGGCCCGGCCCGGTTACTGTTTGGCCCGGCCCGGCCCGGGGCCCGGTGGGTCCACCGGTTCGGTTCGGCCCGGCCCGGCTGCTGGGCGGTTCGGGCTCGGGCCCAGGTTTTGGTGAACCGGCCCGGCCGGTTCGGGCCCGGTCCGGGCCGGATTTTTTTTTTTTTTTTTTTTGAAATTTTTTTAAGTTTTAGGTTGGATTAGGTATTTTGGGCCATTTGAGGTGGTTTGGGATAGTTTGGGGTTGAGGGGGAGGGGTAGGGGATTAAATAGGAGAACAAAAAAAAAAAAAATTAATTGGGCCGGTTCGGCCCGGCCCGGCCCGGTTTGGCCCGGAACCGGGACCGGAACCGGCCACCGGCGGTTCGGGCTCGGGCCTCCCCTTTCCTGGCCCGAGTCCCGGCCGGGCCCAGGCCCGAACCGGCCCGAGTCCAGCCCTAGGTAAATGTGTATTTCTATAATGTTTAGGTGGATATAGAATTTGGATACATATTATGATGTCTAGGTGTTTCGCCATTCAACAATAAAAGTGCACATGTATGTATTTTGCAGCTATTGACATACATGTGCACGAGATATTGAAATAAATGTAAAAAAGATTTTAGAAACGGTGCGTTATGTATGTAATGTACATGTGCATTTTAGTAATGTTTAGGTGGATAGAAAAACTTGATCCTAGTAAACGTCACTTGCATAATGCTATATTTGTAATGTATATATGCATTTCTAACTCTAAACAATGCATACTATACAAAACAAGGTGCATAATATAATATCTAAAATGTGACTAAATTGATGTAAATTAGGTGCAAGGAGTTTAATGATCGATGAAAAGTTGAATCATTAATAAGATATGCAAGTGCAAAATATAACTACGAATTGTGCATGTTAGTGACTTTAAGTATGCAAAAGATATTTAAAATAGTGACTCTAAATGAATTTATTTGAGTTTAAATGCATTACTAAGCTATAGTTGTGCAAATACAAAGGTTCAAAATTTATTGTGCAAAAAATAATAATTAACAATTCAAAGCTTGCTAATAATTGTGAAAAATTAATGTATCTCACCTTCAAATAAATTTATTGTACTAACGTATTTATGTAAGTTATCTTGTACAAATAGCTTAATTAATAGGTCCGTATACTGCATGTGTATTCACAATATTTTGAATGGTTAGTGGTGCATTATTATATTATATATAAATATAAATATATTATATATAGAAGATCACCTAATAATGACGATGTTTCCTTGAATATCAGAAGTTGTTATTCCGGATTGCTGGGACAAAGTTAGTTACCATAATAAATTAACTTGGATTGATTACTAAAATGCCCAAGTTAGATCAAAGCATCCAAAGACTTGATATAAACGGTCAAGATTAGTTCTCATTTCTTACGTTAAGAGTTGTTCTCATTTGAACCAATATATATATATATATATATATATATATATATATATATATATATATATATATATATATATAGATTTTGATTCAGGTGAGAAATGCATCTAATGTGAGAAATGAGAATGAATCTCAGCCATTGGATTTACGAAGTTGCACTAAAATTGGTTTATGTTACAGTAATATTTAAATTTTGCACATGTTGCACTAAAACTGTTTCATTTTGCACTAATATTTGACGGCGTTGCACCGAAATAGCTTCATGTTGCACTAGACACGTGTAATACGGATTTTTCAGAAGTATTTACAGAAATGCCACTGTGCTAGATTGCATATTTCAGTGCATCATGAAGTGTCTTTTACTGCAACTTAGTCGAATCCAATGACTGAGATTCATTCTCATTTCTCACTACTCAAGGGGTTTTTCTCACTTGAACCTTACCCTATATATATATATATATATATATATATATATATATATATATATATATATATATATATATATATATATAAACATGTATGTTTTCAACGCATGGGACAAATATGTCAAGTATACTTTCTTCTAGGGACAATGCTTCGTTCGTTCACATACATTTGCTTTACATTTGCTACTTGTTCGTTCACATACCCCATCCCCACCTAAACAAATCTCAAGGTTTTTGATCTCCTAATTATGTGGACCCCACACCACCAACGAATGGGCAGCACTGGATGGCCAAGGATATGATTCCATCGTATTCATGTTCTTTTGGAAAGAATAATATTAATTGCTATTAATCAAATGATTGTTTAATACATCAATAATGAAAGAAGGGGGAATCAAAAACCAAACATGACTTTCAGACAAAGACCCCGCAGCCCTTGCCATTTGCCAACACATGAGCCGGCCGGTTTGCTGAACGTCTAACATGAGAACATGTAATGCTAACAAAACTAGCCATCATATCTCTTATATCTTTAGACATCAGCCAAAACGCCCTAATAGGAACAACCCGAGCCTTTCTGAATTTCTTGGACAGCTAGTAAAGAATCTGTTTCCAAGTCTATGAGGTCCCATTGTTGAATTTTAATCCAGCTGAGTGCCTCCCTAACACTCATAAGCTCAGCTTCAAGGGGAGTAAACAGGCCACTGCCTGCAATGCTGCCTCCTGCCAAGAAAGATCCGCAGCTGTCCCGAGCAACCCATCCAAATCCACAATTCTCTCCCCCGGTCGAGGCATCAACATTGATTTTCCGCCGCCTTGCAACCGGTCTCTGCCACTTTGAACTCCCACCTGCGTTTTTATCCCCAGAAGAAGCCACTGGCCGCGGCACCATAGCCACTTTGAACTCCCACCTGGTGTCATATTCTCTGATTGTTTTTGCAAAAGTGAAGATGGGGGATTTGGATTGTGCATGGGAGGTGTATGATGAAATGCTCAAGAGAGGGGTTGTTCAAATGCAGGAAGATGGTGCTGATGGGATTTGTCCCTAGCTGTTTGGCTTTCAGAAAGTTACACTCAAGCAACTTGAAGTTTTTCATATTCCAGCTTCCCAACAAGTGGCAGATGTTCTGACCAAGCCCCTATCAGCATCTACATTTCTTGAATTCAGAAACAAACTGAGTGTGATTGATTTTCCCAAACAAGCATCCTCAATTTGAGGGGGGAATGTTAGCAGTATTAAATAGACTATCATTACTGTTATAGTTAGTTAGAACGACTTGTGGTTTCTGTTAAACTACTGCATTGTATAAATACTTGTAATCTCACACATTATCAATAAGATGAATTCATTTTGATCTTCTTCCAGTCTCTATATTCTATTAGATCAAGATGTGTGGACACAGGCGGACCGTAGTACAGACCCAGGGGGGCGGTCGCCCCCCAACAACAAATTATTTTAGTGTATATATATAATAAAAAATAGTTTTCGCCCTCCCAAAAAATATTTTGTTTAAGTTACCGCCCTACCAAGACAAACTTCCTGGGTCCGCCCCTGTGTGTGGATGATACTAATGTTTTCTCTTAGATTCATTGCTAGCATCCACATAATTTTGAAATTTGTGCAAATCATGTTTTGATTATGTTTGGGGCTCTGCAATGGCGGACGAGGCTTTGATTTTAAAATGACAAGTTTAAGATTTATTATCTATTTCTTGGAGCACAGGACATGTTCTCCCGAGACTCTTTTGTAAAAACGAGGGCTTTGGAGGATGATATTATTGAAGGTTGGAGATCAAAAGTTGAGGGGTAGATAGATATTCGAGACTCGAAGTCTTTTGCTACATTTGGGTTAGATTACAACCCAAGTCATTTGTATACACCTAGAAAGTTAGCAACTCTGCCGCCACCCTAGCTCATTTGTCTTTATGGTTTTGACAATATCAAATGTAATCTCCACATATATATATATTTAAACATGTATGTTTTCAACGCATGGGACAAATATGTCAAGTATACTTTCTTCTAGGGACAATGATTCGTTCGTTCACATACATTTGCTTTACATTTGCTACTCGTTCGTTCACATACCCCATCCCCACCTAAACAAATCTCAAGGTTTTTGATCTCCTAATTATGTGGACCCCACACCACCAACGAATGGGCAGCACTGGATGGCCAAGGATATGATTCCATCGTATTCATGTTCTTTTGGAAAGAATAATATTAATTGCTATTAATCAAATGATTGTTTAATACATCAATAATGAAAGAAGGGGGAATCAAAAACCAAACATGACTTTCAGACAAAGCCCCCACAGCCCTTGCCATTTGCCAACACATGAGCCGGCCGGTTTGCTGAACGTCTAACATGAGAACATGTAATGCTAACAAAACTAGCCATCATATCTCTTATATCTTTAGACATCAGCCAAAACGCCCTAATAGGAACAACCCGAGCCTTTCTGAATTCCTTGGACAGCTAGTAAAGAATCTGTTTCCAAGTCTATGAGGTCCCATTGTTGAATTTTAATCCAGCTGAGTGCCTCCCTAACACTCATAAGCTCAGCTTCAAGGGGAGTAAACAGGCCACTGCCTGCAATGCTGCCTCCTGCCAAGAAAGATCCGCAGCTGTCCCGAGCAACCCATCCAAATCCACAATTCTCTCCCCCGGTCGAGGCATCAACATTGATTTTCCGCCGCCTTGCAACCGGTCTCTGCCACTTTGAACTCCCACCTGCGTTTTTATCCCCAGAAGAAGCCACTGGCCGCGGCACCATAGCCCAACCATCAACAAATGCTCTGGTTTTTGCCATCACCTGCTCCCCCTCCATCTGCTCCCCCTCCATCTGCATACTGTGCCAAACTCGCTGGTTTCTTTCTCCCCACAAACCCCAGCAACCTGCAATAAATCTTTCAAGCTCTTCCTTCTTAAGCACTTTAAAAATTACTTCCAGCCATCTCATGGTTTTATATCCTTGGATTAGACGAGTACAATATCCAATCATTGAGTGTTAAACTAATAAACCTCAACGTGAAATACTTGGCAAGTAATTGACCATTTTCATTATTTATTCTATCACACCATCATCTCTCTATATAGCTAGCTGATGAACAACTCTGCTTCGATCCTCCTCCAAGTAACTGGGAGGAAATCAACTTCTCTATATAGCTAGCTGATCAACAATTCTGCTTTGATCATCCTCCAAGTAACTGGGAGGAAATCAATTTGTCATCAGAACTGCTGAATGTGAAACATTCTGCTTTCATTAAACGTAGAAACTTGTGTGCTTCACTCAGTCTTCCAACCTTAAGTAAACCAATTATCAACCAAGAAAAGGAAGAAGAATTAAGAGAGATTGACCTATACTTCATCTCGTAATAAAGCTTGAGTGCTCCTTCAATGTCGCTGCCTTCTTTTGCATAACCAGCAAGAAGATGAGAGTAAGTGTTTTGGTCAGGAACAAACCCTTTATCTAAAAGCTCTGTCAACATTTGATCAGCCTCCTTTGCAATACCATTTTCACAGAGCTTCTCTACCATTACATTGAAAGCCAAACAGCTAGGGACAAATCCCATCAGCACCATCTTCTTGCAAAAATCCAAACTCTCATTCACCCTTCCTGCATTTGAACAACCCTTCATCAAGTGCTCAAATGTCTCAACTAGTGGTTTGATATCTAGAGTTTCCATTTGCCCCAAAATCTCAATTGCGTCATCCACTCTTCCCTTTTCACAATATGATGTGATAAAAGCGTCATACACAAAAGCATTTCCTTGGAAACCTCTCTTGAGCATTTCATCATACACCTCCCATGCACAATCCAAATCCCCCATCTTCACTTTTGCAAAAACAATCAGAGAATATGACACCGTATCAATGATCATATTCTTCTGCAACATTCTCTTTAACAATTTCAATCCGTATCCCATTCTTCCATCTTCTATAATCCCATGGATCAAACAAGTATTCACAACCACCCCAGGCCCACATCTCTTCCCCCTGTGAATCTTTCCCACAACATCCACAAACCATTGCAGCCTCCCTTCTTTACACATAGCATTAACCATGGTTTCAACCGTGGTTAGATTAGGGTTTACTCTTTTCTCAATCATATGGCCATATATATCCCAAACCATTCCATGCTTTTTGGATTTTTGGAGAACATGGAGCAATGCATTATAACTAAATACACTAAGAAGAAATCCATTATCATCCAAAACTTTACAAATATTAAACCCCTTATCCGTCAGCCTCAACTTAGAACAGACTTGGACGAACAGATCAAACACAAAAGGTACAGAATCAGTGGTTTTATAAGTTTCGAGCAGTGAGCCGAGAACTGTAAAAACGTCAGAATTATCTAGTTTGGTAAAAAGTGACTCAATCAATGCCTTGGCGTCTTTGATGAGCCTGGCCTTGGCGAGAATGTGAACGGTGATGCAATAGGTTTGAACACCATGACTGAATCCGGCAGATTTACTTGACCAGTGGAAGAAATTGAGAGCCTTCGTTGCATTATCTTTGTCTTTAAAGCTGAGGAGCACTTTGTTCACCAGTGGGGTGGTGAGATTGATGAAACTGAGTTCTCGGGCCAAGGATTCCCATTTGCGGCTTCTCTGGAAGGAGCTGCAGAGGTATGTGACCGTCGCGTCGTCTTCGATTCGGATCTCTGGCGATTCTGCGGAAGAGAGCGAGAGTACTTTGGAGCAGTTTTTGGCGGTTGAAAAGCGTTTAGCAAAGGAGAGCAATGCGCGAGACGAGGTGGCCATCCACGATGATATCTAATCCAATCCAATTTAGAATATTTATTTATACTGCAGCTCGGATCTACCATGGTACATATGGCTGGCTAAAACTATTGCACTTCGAGTTTAACTAGCGACAGACTCGAACACAAATTAAGTTTTAAATTTGAATAATTAATTGAGTTGAACTAGAGAGTAGTATTCAACTCGATTCAAGTTCGATCTTATCAAACACTCTCAGATTATAGGTACAAGTTATCCATCCATAATTCTCTAAATAAGATTAAAATATAGATGAAGTGCAAACATAAAAATAGATTTTTAAAATTTCTCAAATAGGAATATTTTTCAGTATTTCTCAAATATAGATGAAGTGCAAACATAAAGTTATACTTATCTTTAAAGAAAATTAGTTAAATTGGAGGTACTAAGGTAGAAAATGAATGATTGTCTCTATTTAGGGAAGATTTAGCTTGGACTCCTATTTCGGGAATTTTCCTCAATGGGAGTAAAACTTGGCCGTGGGAGTTACATAGGAGTACAAACTTTTTAACTCCTAAACAAGACTAACTTTCATATTAAGCGACGAAAATGCCCCCCCTTTTCTCGCACGAGCAACACTCTGAACCACATGCAATAGACGACCCTCTCTAGCAAAACGCAGACCAATTCTTCCTCTTTACAACCTACTGTCTCTGAAACTCAATCTAATTTCTCGATATGTGAAAGAATTCCCCCTCTTTACAACCTACGGTCTCAGAAACTCAATCTAATTTCCCTATATGTGAAAGTTGCTTTATTTTGAAACTGTTTTACTCCGGCATCGATCTTCTCAGACCCTCCATGCATCTCCCTCAGAATTATTTGGATGGCGACACGTACATCTGTTAGAGGAGTTCCGGCCATGGAACTAACTTACCATTGTCCCTACTCATTGGGAAGCAAACGAAAAGGCTTTCATCGGCAATTGGAAACTTGTTGGGTGGATGAAAAAAATGAAATGGTTAGGAATAGGAGTAAAACATTGTCCGTATACTCAAATAGGAGTAACAATTTTGTTAATTCATAAATAGGAGTACTTTTAGGTGTTCTAACCTTTTTACCCCTCCTTAATTCTGACAAGAGAGCCCAATGTATGGAGTATCTTGTTCATATGGAGTATAACAAAATGATTTCTAGGGTTTAATAGTTAAGAAAAAATGATTAGGCTCTAGGCAAAAGGCCCAAATATAGACCTTTGTTCTCTCTCTCACCACAATCTCTCTTCCCAGTGGGTAGGTTCCTATCGGATGTAGAGCTACTATCTCTATCACTTCCAAAACGAACCAGAGGTCCAGAGAAAAGTGGTGATGCAAACACGATGGTACGCCGACGCCGATGCAATAGACAGAATACAACGATGCAGAAACGGCCGCACGACATGGTGATGGGTCGATGAAGCAGTAGCAACGGGATGACGGCTGAATACCCGCACGACAACTCAGCGGCGACAAGATGGCTACACAGAGGCGGCTATAGGCCTTTCTTCTTTTATATCTATTTTTTGTATTCATTTCAATTAGTTTTTTTTTTAAATTTCAGATTCCTCTTTTGTCCTGAACATTTTTAAGCCAAAAGTGCCAATGTTCTCTATTCGAATATTATTTGTGGATAATGCCATTTATATGGCATTATCTTTCTGAAGATGACACTAATACTTGTTTGAAAAACAATATTTATAATAATCAGTTTGAAATATCATTTTGACAAATAATGTCATTTTCTTGGTACTAACTTTTAGTCTTTTATCAAGATGACAATTATACATTTGATTTTCTGATAAAGCCATAATTCAAATGAAAATGCCATGTTTCGTCAATATAATACAGAGTAAGTGATATTTATGAATCTCGAAGTGCCATAATTTTTTGTACTGAAGATATTATAGCATGGAACTAATTATTAAATAGTATTATTTTTGTCTAGGCGACAATATTAAAATTGCATTTTAATTATTTCTATATTTTGTGGTTAATATGAATATGTATTGCTTTTGCTTGTATTTGGATCTCACTGGACTTCAATAGTGAATTTTCCGGAGGAGGCAGCTGTCACTCCAGAGATATGGTGCGATCTCGCCAGAGGCAGCTAACGCCGAAGATCTGGAGTGGTCTTGCCGGAGGCGTTTGTCACGCCGGAGATTTGGAGCGGTCTCGCTCTAGGCGGCACCAGAGGAAGAATCATTGGAGGAACCACATCGGGATGAAGTCACACCACATAAGATCGGTGGTGGTGGCGAGAGCAGCAGCGCTGGAGGGCACGATGTTGGTGGAAATTGCGGCGGCATTGCAGGAGATGACGACAGTTGAAGAGTCACCGAGGGACATTGGAGCGGCTTTGTACTGCCACTATCCTTCGGGCTAGTGTGACGTCAATTAAGAGTATTTTATTTTTAATTTTTATACAGTATTTTATTAATAATCCTGAAATGTTTCGTTAAGGATAGTTTGATGACTTGGTCAAGTCAGGCCATTTTTACTCCTACCAAACATTAAGCTCTCATTATTTCATTATTTGTCTATTGTTTTACTACGGAATACTATTTAGGTAATTCACCCTTAAAAAATTTAATAGGGACAATTGTCTCTGCGTTGAAACTCAATTGTGTTCATATGTTAAAGAAACTAAAATAATATAATAAAGGCTAAAAGGTCAAATAAGTTAGTGTACCCATCCAAAATGCTCAATTTTCAACCTCTAAAAAGCTCTAATTGACACCCCAAACTCAATAAAATGATTCAAATTTCATTTTTGCAGGTAACGGCCCCATCACCGACACGTCATCCGGTGAGATTCCACCTATGTATGATGTGGCAATTTAAGGGGTCTAATAAGTTCTTGAACCGGGCCGTTAAAATAAATCAAAACAAATTCTTTAACTTTATTTTCAAATCTTATATTTATATTTTATATAAAAAAAATGTGGTAGTTACATGTACACACACCTATACCGGTAAAATATACCGTACACCCGGATGTACGGTCCTCACCGTACAATCGGGTATTTTTGCAATTATTCACAACTGAGATGTCATTTACTCCTCCGTTTTGCATCTGCTTTTCCCAACCCCAATTCCGGCACTCCATATTCGAGCCGTTCAGATGCTTCCTCCCGAGAAATCAACTGTCAACAACCCAATTCAGATAACTTTCATGGAATTAACACGGCACTTGCAGATGAATCAAACAATTGACAAATTTACGGCATTGAAGAAGATGGAGTAGCCGCTTGAATTGTAGTGGATTCTGCTAGGGATGACTCTGACAGGCGGGAGGGAGTTGCAGATCTCGGCAATTGCAATGAATATAACTTCTCCATTGTCAACTTTTTTAGACTTCCACTTCTTTTTTCGCTTTCATTCATTTAATTGTGTTAGCAACATAACTTTAATTTTAGAATTTTAAAATGAATTAATTGAGATAAAAATTTGATTAAAAACAATTCTACCTCTTTCCATTTGATTAATAATACTCAATTGTATGATTCTAGTACTCAATTTAGGAGATTTGATACTCAATGAAAATGTTTTGATACTCAACTAACAAAACTTATAATTTTCATATTAGTGCTCATTTGATGAGTTCTGTATGCTCATTTGATATCGGTGTTATGCTCATTTAAACAATGGTATATTAATGTATATTTCAAAAGTATCATGTTACATTAGATTCACATATGAGTTGATTATAGATACGAGAGTACAGACCATGATACTCATTTGGATGTCACTAATACTCAATACATGAGGTTTGATGATCAATGAAAATGATTTGATGTTCAACTGAAAAACTTATGATTTTCATATCAATGCTCATTTTGTAAGTTACGTATGCTCAATTGATACTCATGTTATGCTCATTTTAAAAATGTCATATCAATTCATATTTCAAATGTATAAATTTACATTAGATTCACATAAAATTACTAAATTTGTAATTCGAGAACGAAAGACTATATTATTTTTGACATAAAATTACTATATTTGTGATTATATGTGCATAAATGAATATTTGAACACATTAGAGAATTCAAATGAGTTTTGAATTTTTTATGCTCATTTTGTAAACTATATATGTTCATTTGACACTGGTTTTATGCTCATTTAAAATGTTATATTAATGCATATTTTAAAAGTATCATATTTATATACATGGGGCAGTGATCGTGATACTCAATTGCATGCTTCTGATACTCAATAGAGAATGTTTGATATTCAATAAGATGTTTTGATATTCAAATAACAAAGCTTATGATTTTCATATCATTCCTTATTTGGTAAGTCATGTATGCTCATTTTGTACCAATACTATGCTCATTTTAAAATGTTATATCTATGCATCTTAAATTCGCGTGAGAGTTGATTATAGACACGGGAGTAGAGATCATGATACTCAATTGCATGCTTATACGACTCAATAAAGAAGTTTTGATGTACAATGAAAATGTCTTGATGCTCAAGTAACAAATCTTATGATTTTCATATCATTGCTCATTTGGTAAGTAATGTATAATCATTTTGTACTGGTGTTATGCTCATTGAGTATCCGAAGTATATATTTCTCATTTTCATACGAAGTATATAATAATATTTTATTAAATTGTTAACAACGAATTTACTACATGTACATATTATAGAAAAAGGTTTATGTTATATTCGAATGAGTATAACGATCAAAAGAAATGAGCATACATAAATAAATTTCGAAGCTCATTTTGTAAGTTATGTATACTCATTTGATATTAGTTTTGTGCTCATTTTAAAATGTCATATTCATGCATATTTCAATACTATCATTTACATTAGATTCACATGAGAGTTGATTATAGACACGAGAGTAGAGATCATGATACTCAATTGCATGTTTCTAATACTCAATGGAGGAGGTTTGATGCTCAATGGAAATGTCTTGATGCTCAACTAACAAAGCTTATTATTTCCATATCAATGCTCATTTTGTAAGTTACTTATGCTCATTTGGTAATGCTGTTATGCTCATTTTAAAATGTCATATCAATACTTATTTCAAAAGTATTATATTACCTTAGATTCACATTTTGAAATTCTCAGGAGTTGATTATAAATAAAATTTATGAATTTTTATAAACGAAAAAAAATAAGAAAATGAAAGTGAATTAGAAGATATAAAGCTAAAATCACGATGCTCATTTTTAGTCTATAATACTCAACATAATAGGTCTGATGCTCATTTAAGTTGCACTATTGCTCATATAAGAGAAACCACTATTTTCACCAAAATTGCATCATGCACTAATTGTCTTTGTACTCCACTTATGTCATATAGATCAATGCACAATTCATTAATATAGTATGCCCAATCGTTAATTGGTTTGTGCTTATTTTAAAATATTATGTTAATTTACATTTTTTGAAGACATTATACTGATTTCAGTATACTGTAAAAATCATTTCAAGCATATACTCATAATAATGTATACCCACATGAAGTACTCCCTCCGTCCCCTTTTTAATGTCTCGTTTTACCATATTGGAACGTCCCTATTTAATTGTCTCATACCTTATTTGGTAAAGTTTGTGTGGCTCAAAATCATTCTTACTTTATTCTTACTTTATCAATTAATATCAACCACACAAACCCACTTTTCTTAAAACTCGTGTCACCCTCTTCCGGGACATTTAAAAGGGGACGGAGGGAGTACGCAGTATTTGTTATGCTCATTTGTAATATCAGACATTTGCACATTGTTTAAACATTACACTCATGTAAGTGTATAATATAAAAAGAGATGGAACTTCACTTTTTAATTTTATCGAACAGTTGGTAGGCATTCAATATGAGGCTTATGAGCCAATTTAGAAAACTATAATTATACTAGTAGGAGAGGAAGACAGATTATTCTGCTCAAGTAGTCATTCAATTAATTTATTTGGAATTTGTAGGATCCAACGTAGCTTACATACCTGTAGATTAAACTAAGAATTATAGATTTAAAGAAAAAACATGATGAAACCTGGTGAAGAGAGCATCGTTTTTCACTTTTAAGTGGTCACGTGAAAACCTTTGTTTCCACCACCCTCAATTTCTTTCCTCCTCCTGCCGGCCATTTTGCTACAAATTAAATGAGGAGGATGAGAAGAATATCATCTCTGCCATTTTTGTGGACTACAATAATTCAGATGTCAAGTTCGTGGAAGCCAGGCCCCGAGAGACGGTGCATAGAAAGACGTCTGGGCTTGGCAACGGAGGAAGGTTTTGGGAGAATAAAGTAGTCTGTATGAAATAGATCTAAAGATTCATCAAATTACAAAAAAATTACAAAAAAAACCTGGATGTAAATATACATCCAGGTGTATAGTATAGGAACTCCACCTATACTAGTGTGCATGTGCACTCGCGTCCATGCACATATATTGGCTTATACAATATAAAGTAAGTACACACAATTATTATGCATATATAATACGTAAAAATTAATATTAATATATTAAATAAACAATATAAATATGTAATTACTTTTTTTATATTTTACTTCTTATATGGTATAAATTTTTATGGTGTATATAACTAGTATCAAGTGTAGAATTAAAACTTCAATTTTTGTTTTTACTTTTATAAGTATAAAAATAATAATTAGTATACCTTGAAAAAATACAATTACATCAAAATAAAATAATTTCAATAATATTTTAAAATATTATTTTATCAAAATAATATATTTTTAATATATTTTAAAATAATTTAAAAATATGATATGAAAGAAATACAAAAAGAAAATAGCAAAATATAAATAGCATATAAATGATATATGTTTTAAATGTTAGATACAATACATACAATAAAATTTTAAATATAGCTGGTAAAATATATTTTTTATTTTCTTATGTAAAATATGGATAACTAGTCTATTTGACCCATTAGCCATTTTATATTGATTATTTGCAAGAGTAATAATACGGAGTACGTACTAGTCTATTAATTAACCCACACTTTGCACGGATAACAAACAATTTACCCCCGAAAGTAATTCACGTCATTAATAATGTTTGCATGCGTACTTATCTTATATATATAAGTTGAAAACATAATATAAAATTGCAAAATCAGTACACATATAATAATTTTTAGAGATATGCTAATAAATATTGTTCTTATTCAACTATTCATAGGTAATTAATAATTGTGACTACTCAATACATTATTATTGCTACTCTCAAGTATTTTAATTATAAATGTAAGCATGCAAAAGAGATTCAATGAAAGAGCTAGGGTTTGAGTAACAGATTATCTCTAACAAAAGGATTTAACATTTTATAAGTAACAGATTATCTCTAGGCCGGGAGTTTATTGTGCAGTATAATTTATTAATACATTATCTCATCCAAAGTTGGGAAATATTACTCTATATCTCCCTTCATATGTCTGTGTTATAAGGCCTAAGCATATAAATATAAAAACAAGTAAAAATTGTGGGGTTAATATTAATGTAGAAAATAAAAAACAATACTAACTACACATTTTTCATAAATGACAAACATGATAATACTATTACTTAAAGGACATAAAAATATTGTTTTTCACTTCCAATTATTTATGTGGGAAATGCAACATGTTTACTACCATATAGCTAATGATTGTTTCAAAAAACTTTTTTCCTTGAACTTTTATGGAAAACTAGGGTCAACAAGGGTATTTGGGCTAATTGGTACAATAATCGTAGAGATAATATCAAGTCTATTATGCATAAGTCGCTTGACTCTATGATTGATATTTTTGAGGATAATATTTGTGTTCAGGTGAATAATTGGGCTAGCTCCTTCTGGTTCTCCTATTGGTGTGATATTTTTTATGACACCCCCCTTAGCCT